GAGAATTCTACCACTGACCCATCACTGCCCCACTAAAATCTTTACACACATTTAATCTTCACAATACCCCTATGAGGTAGGTACTATTATCAGCCCCCATTTTACAGATTAGAAATTCCCAGAGATTAAGTAACTTGTCTAGGATCACACAGCTAAGATTTAGTAGAATTTGGATTTGAACTCAGGAAGCCTCATCCTAGGGCCTATGTTATTAGTCACTGGAGTTGCAGATTTCAAGTGGAGATCACAAAATTAAGAACCCAAAGTCAGAAGCCACAAGGAGTATCGCATAAATAGGCCTCTAATTTCCATTTACTTAAGAACCAAGAAATAACTTGGCAAAGAAACAATGAAGTAACAGCAAACCCAAATGACTAAATGTAGCTCTGCTGATTGCTCAGATAAAGACTCCATCATCCCCCTTGGCTGCTTGCCAGCATTTCACTTTTCCATATGTGTTTGTTAAACTCCAGGGTGCAACTGCACCACAAGGAAATGGGCTAGAAATGCCTCCAAATTACCCAACTGCCCGATGCACAATTTCTAAACAGCATAATGACTTCAACCTCAAAATACACTTGGATTTGGAAAGGCAGCAATCTCTTCCAGAAAAGAAATCTTTTTGCTTCATCTTAGAAAATATTTTAAAAAGTATGCAGCACTACAGTTAAAGAACTGCTTTGGAAAATTGTTAAATACTTGCTTCTCAGGTTCCCTGGTGAAAAGCAGATCCTATCCTCATTCTGCAGCAGCCCTCAGAGAGTTCTGCTTGGACCCCTCACCTGCGTGCAGGGGCCTCGGGTTAGGAAAAGTGCGTGGGACTTTGGCAGTCATGACCTACATTCACGAAGCCTGCAGCAGAGCTGGTTTTGAACCAGATTTTCCCACAAGTATAAAGCAGCTCACAACCTAGAAACCTTGATTTTTTATTAATGCAGAAAGGCAGTCAACAAATCAAGTCAGTAACACGTGGCCCCCTGTAGAACCAGGACAAGTCATAAACGGAATTTGCTTCTTTTCAAATGGCCTCCATCAACCCGTTGTGTTTATAAACAGGCCCTTCAAATCAGCTGCCAGATAGCTATCTAAGCACCAGGCACTTTTACCCTAAACCAAAAAAAAAGCCAAACCCACTTCCATCAAGTCAATTCCAACTCATATCGGCCCTATAGACAGAGTAGAACTGCCCCATGGGGTTTTCAAGGCTGTAAATCTTTATGGAAGCAGACTGCCACATCTTTTTCCCCAACAAACAGATCGTGGGTTTGAACTGCTGACTTTTCAGTTAGTAGCTGAGCACTTAATAACTGTGTCACCAAGGGTCCTCACTTTTATCCTAATGCCAGGGAAACATGTTTCTTCTGACTTCCCCTGCTATGGTCCTATTTATTTTAATGTTCTCACCTTGTATTCAATTAATCCTGCTGGTAAACTCTGTATGGTGTATTTAAAATGTTCCCCAGGTTCATTTCCCAACCTCCAGGGCCTATGTGCATATGGGAGCTCACACTAGACTCAAGCAATGAGCTCCTTACTCGCATCCCTCCCACTAGGGTCCCAGATGCAAAAGCCAAGGCTGATATGAACTCTTTTGCATATACAGTACTGTGTTATCAGTGAAGGCAAACATGGGTATATGGATGGATAGATGGGTGGACAGGCTAAACAATTACGTATGTCTATGAAATGGGGAGTGTATCCAAGAACATATATAGGGTTGTCAGACAATGCTCTTATAAGTTTATGTGAATGATCAGAATTCCCAGGTGTATAGTAGAGCTGACAAGGGGCAAGGTCACAGCCAGCGACCCAGAGGGACCGAGTAGTTGAACCTGCAGGCTTGGGACCATAGTCACAGGGGACATCAAGCTTAATTGGCATAACATACTATACAAAACATTGTTCCACCTCCTACTTTGGCGAGTAACGACTGGGATCTTAAAAGCTAGCAAGATGCCATCTAGATGCAACGATGGGTCTCTCCTCATCCAGAGCAAAGAAGAATGAAGAAAACCAAAATTCATGGAAACAATTAGTCCTAGCGACTAGTACACCATCCAATCTGCAGCCTATACAACTATGAGACCAGAAGAACTAGATGGTGCCCGGCTACCACTGTCATCCACTTGGAAGGGAATCTATGTAGAAGATCCTGGATAGAGAGGCAGAACAATGTGGAACAAAACTCAAAATCATTTGGAGGGGGAAAAAAGAGGGGGGGGGGACCAGGTTTGCTGGTCCAATAGAGCCTGGTGGAACCACTGAGACTATGGCCCCTAGCTGCCCTTCAGGTCTGGAATTGAACCACACCTGTGGTTTCCAGCCAAACAACATACAGGCATATGAGTTAAACATTTACCTCAAGTAGATACATTCCTTGGAGAGAACAATCATGGGAGAAAGAAGGGCTGCTTATGCACAGGGAGACAGCACAGGGGGCAGGAGTATATGGAGAGATGGACACTGGGAAGAGGTAACTATGGGGAGGAAGTGGGAAGGGAGCTGTTGCATTGTGGTAAACTGTGGTCAATGACATAAGACAAAGTATATGTGAACTGCTGTATGGAAAGTGAATTTGCTCTGTAAATCTTCACCCAAATCACAATTTAAAAAAAAAAAAAAGCCAAGGCTGGACTAGCTCATCAACCACAGTAACAAAGACTGTGGTTCAGAGTCCAGGTGGGGACACTGGTAGTTAGAGGCAGTACTCTCATTTTCCATACAGGAGACTCAGATTCAATTCCTGGCCAATGCACCTCACAAGCAGCCACCACTTGACTCTCAGTGGAGGTCTATGTGTTGCTATGATGCTAAATAGGTTTCAGTGGAGCTTTAAGAGGAAGACAGACAGGAAGAAAGGTCTAACAATCTACTTATGAAAATCAGGCAATGAAAACCCTACGGATCACAATGTTGCAACCTGCAACTGATCATGGGGATGGTGTAGAACTGGACAGCATTTCATTCTGCTCTGAATGAGGTTGCCCAGAGTTGGGCTGACTCCACAGCATCTAACAACAACTTTATGGCCCAGGCTCTATTAGCAATATTTTTAACATTGGCTACATAACAGAATCACCTGGAGAATGCTGAAATCCTAATGCCCAATTAAATAAGAAGTCCTGGGGATAGAACTAGGTATCAATGTTTTTGAAAGTTCCCCACCAAGTGATTTCTCTGTGCAGCCAAAGTTGAGAACCACAGTGTTCACTCCATCCAGCAGTGTGACCCCAGGCAGGCTACTTAACCTCTGAGTGCATCAATCTCCTCACAGGGTGAATGGATGGCTCTAAGAGTAGAGCCCTTAGCACAGAGCCTGGCACAGAGTCAGCAGGTCCTGGTCCAGTTATTAGTCGAAGTGGGGAATTAATTCTATGAGCTACTGGATCACAACCATTTTATTAAATCTTTCCTTTCTGCTGCATTCAGGGTTTTGTTTTAAAGGTGACTTGGAGTAGAGAATTAAAAAGAAAAGGGTGGCAGAGACAACACCTACCTCAGATTCCTGTCACTCTGGCCCCATGTCAATAATATTTTTTAAAAACAGTCCCCCTACCCCATCCCCAGATGAAACAAGTTCTCCTGAAAATCCTGTGCAAACTGGATGCAGCTCAATGTCAAATGTCTTCCAAATGGCTTCTCTCCTGACCTTCTACCTTCTATTTTGTTCTACTTGCTTCAGCTTGTATGCATAAAAAGCAAACAGTTTCTACATCACTAATTAATAAGTACTTACATCTCAAATGATACTATCATTCAAATGGCAATATTTGGGTCCTTTTCAACTGAGGCCATCAGTCATATACTTAACTCATTGGGTTCTCACCTCAGCTGTATGTAAGAATCACTTCAGATGTCTTAAAAGATATCAAAACCTAGGCCCTAACCTCCAGACATTGACTTAATTCATCTGGAATGGGGCCCGGGTATCCATTTAATTGAAAACCTCCTCGATAATTCTAATATGTAGCCACAGCTGAGAACCACCACCACCAAGGGAAGAAAAAAAAAAAAAAATCATCATCTAAGATACCAACTATATTTAACAACTATATTTTAACTATATTTTTCCACCTGGAAAAAGCTAAGCTACCTTCCAACGAAAAACATCAAATGCAGAGGGTCTAAAAAGAAAGCCAATACTAGTATGAAACTTCCCTGCCTATGTCTTTTAACTCAAACAGCAAGTGCAATAATCAAACCTTCCCATTCCATGTTAAAACAGCTAAGAATATCAGAACCCCTACAGGGAGAGTCAGATCTGCTGAAATAATCAGTGGTCTTTATGACTAGCTCTTATTTATTCGAATAACTGAATAAATCTTATTTATTTGGAGATATGTCTCCACAAATGGAAGGCTTTAACCTGAACAAGCATAAGAAAAAAAAAAAAAAAAACTCACTGCCTTCGAGTTGATTTGCCTCATAGTGACCCCTCCTTGGATTTCCAAAGTCAGTATCTCTATGGAAGTAGATTGCCCAATCCTCCTTCCAAGGAGTGGCTGGTGGCTTTGAACTGCCAGCCCTCTGGTTAGCAGTCAAATGCCTTAAGCACTAAAACCACCAGAGCTCCCCTGAATAAGCATTTACCAACATTTATTCAGTAGACAAATTAAGGCACTATTAAAACCATCCCAATCTTGACATTGAATTTATTTATGCATTTTCAAGAAGTCTACTGACTCATAAGCTTTGGGACTGATTGTTGTTGTTGTTGTTGTTATTTGCTGTCGAGTCGGCCCCTACTCATAGCGACCCCTCCTTGGGTTTCCGAGGCAGTATCACTACGGAAGTAGGATTGCCCAACCTTCCTTCCGAGGAGTGGCTGGTGGGTTTGAACCGCCAGCTTGGGACTGAAATCATACTTAAAAAATACATAAATAAATAAGCCTTCAATTACTTTAAAGGAAAAAAAAAAAAAGGACAAACTACACATAGCAATACATTTTATGAATTTTCAAGAGAGTCAGGTGTCCACTCCAGGAAGGCCACCACCTTACCTCTGAATTTCTTAGGTGGATTGTTAAGGTCCCCAGCTTCAGGCTGTACAACACAGCGGTCATCTACCAGGCTGCAAAAAAGAAAGACAAATGCTATAACAAGCCAAGTCTAGGAAAATAAAGCCCTAAGTACTAGGTAAAAATCAAATTTTCCAGGGCTCTTCCTGTATAAAACTCAGCCAGAAATATTTTCCAGCCAGGGAGGTGCTAACACAAAGGTTTCCCAAGGTTCTGCTTTCTGTGGCTTCTTTCCCTTCATCATATCCATGATGGATTGCACACAGCATGCAATATTACTGAAGTTCAGAGGCAGAAGAGTCCATGAAATCAACTAAGAGTAGCTGAAGGGCCAAGTGTGTGCCAGGCATGTGCTTGGTCCTGGGATATGAGGATGGATATGAGTTGGGGCTCCCTTGCTACCATCCCGAGAGGGACCGGGTCTCCGGGAGCAAGGTAAGCA